AGAGAAAAACCCAAGCTGGACCTAGTAACCCCAGCTCTCTGGGTCTGTGCATAGTGCCCCTACAGATGTCCATATGACCCCATTTCCCTTACCCCACACGCCCCGTGGCTATGCTTCATTTCACTGCTGTTCTCCAACAGCTCAGTATCATGGCTTGGTTACGACGCCCCTCCACACCCCTTCCTCCCGAACTCCTGCTTTCTGGGTTGAGCAAAACCATTCTTGAAAATTGTTAGGTCTACCGTGTAACTGCGAATGGTCTAGCTCAGAAAACACAAACTTTATCTTCCTATTTCTCTGGGTGTACTTAGTGAGACGTTTCTCAAAGATACTCACTAGCATCTGACACAACTGATGGAAACACTTTCAAACGGCCTGGGGCTGTTAGTGGATTCTGGTTTATAATCACTTTTGATTTCAAAGGTGGTCAGAAAAACATTTGACTTCAAGGTGATGGTAAAATATAAGAACCAAATTAGGTTTCTTTCAAAGGATGAGGACACAGTCCCTAAAAGTATCAGTACAGTTATGTTCTCCTTGGTATACTAAGGCCTTCATCATTTGCAACAAAAACCAAAAACAATTTGCACAATTGATGGTGAGGGAGCACTGCGAGGAGCAGCTGTTCCTCTCCATGCTCGGTGGTAAGTGAACAATGTCCTGCCTCTGACCAGGAAGGGGCCACGGCTGGCATCAGCATTATCACCCCACCCTTGAAGATTCTGACTCATAAAATTTGAGAGTGCAGCCCAGGTAGCTGCACTTTTAAAAGCTTCTCCCGTGATTTTATTGCAGGTAAGACTGTACAGGTAAGAACCACAGCACCAGAGAAACTGCAGGGGGCAATGTGTCCAGCAGTCAGTGCACCCATCCACTGAAGCCACGCCAGAATTGCAAGAGGAATGCAGACTCAGGACTATCAGGTTCCCTTTGGGCAGTTCTCTGACTAATCCAATCCTAGTTGACATAAGCTATGCAACATCCATCGTCTCACAGATTCCGGGTAGATCGGGATAAGTTCTGAAAAATCAGACTGTCCACTGCTAACTTATATTATGACCTTCCTTTTTTGTATAATCATAATATCAAAATATTCTGAGCAACATTCAGTTTATAACTGGATTGTCTTAGCCACACAGGCGGCTGCCTGGTTCAGGCAAGCTGCCCCAGGAGGAGAAATTCCTCTGTCTCCTGAGACAGAAGGCAAGCCCCAGGAGAAATAAGACCCCAGGACATAAAAACTCCTGGGAAGCTTCCTTGCTTTCTTTAAATAAAAAAGCAAACCTCACATAAGTCTCCAGGGCATAATGGACAAATTTTAACCTTGACTACACAGGTGTTGTGTGATATACAACTGTACAACTTTCTCTTAATTTACTCCTTTTAAAACAAGCACTAAGTACTTTCTGCTAGCCTTAAATTAGCCATTAGCTTTTCTTTAGACAGTCACTGATAACACTGCTAACACAATTTATTACTACCCCAAGACCCCTAACAACCTTTTGCTAACAAGCTCACCCTTTCCCAGACCCCTCTTCCTTTGAGTGATAACTAGACAGCTGTATACATGATAACTGTCACAAAACGTATAATCTATTATACCATAAATTGTTAAGAGAAAAAAATGCTTTTTCCCCTTGTCCTTGAGAATGTTTTATGAAGATATCTCATTAACTTACCCTATGCATTATTACAATTAACTACTTGCTACACAGTATAAAGAAAGACCTGCTGAAGGAATGGCAGGAAGACTTGCACCCTATCCTGACTCCCGTGTCTTCCTCGCACCCGCTCCTCTCTCCCCCTTTTGGAATCTCCGCTTGCCGACGCCTTCCCATCTTAGGGTCCTGCCTGTGCTGCCTCCAGACACTTCAAAAGTTGGAGCTGGTCTCTGACACCTAGTCAAACCCTTGATGTGATCAGAGCTTATGTCAAAGAAGAGGGGTTTCAATCAGCCTCTGTGGCCAAACCAGGAGGCTGGCCAGCTGCGGGCTTTAGCTGAGTTCTAGGTCATCTACCTGGAGGCACTTTCTTGATGGTCAAGTCAGGGAGTACTTATAAAATTTTAGAAGATCATTTATGTATTCTCTGCACCTTTGTAATACTGAGTCAGAGCATGAGGAAAAACATGAAGCACTGATGTTACTATCTCAAAAGTGGAGTCCAAACTAATACACGATCACTGTGGCTGGAAACCTCGTTTCTCTAAATCGTGCTCTTCAGGTAAAGGGGTCATTTACCTTATATCTTCTTCTATCTTCGCCTGAGCTTCAAGGTCAAAAGGATCGGCAGAAAAGAGACGAATTCTTTCTTGCTCTCTCCGGGCTCGGTCCTGCTGCTGCTCCACCAGGACCCTGGAAAATTTCTCTACAAAAAGGGGGATACTTTAAGTACCATTATATTTTCATCCTTTATTAATACTTTCCCACATCACATAATTTCTCAAAATGCAACTTTAAGAGATGCAAAGAGGATGACTTAAAAATTGTTTCAAATGAGCAATTACATTTACTTTCTGTCCTGAGCAAGACTAATTTTTTACTTAAACCAGTGTAAAGAATTTGCAAAAATAACTCACTCACATAAGAAGTTAGTTATTGTATTGGCTGTACTCAGAGATGACTTCAGTTGAAAACAGTGGGGAGGACTAGCTGCCCCTCCACTCCCTGTCCTTTACTAGGAATAAAATGCAGCACCACAGCCCTGGCTCCTTCTGTAGTTCGCATTTCCTCTGCAACACTCTCTGCCTTAAAGGAGAGAAGTTAAGTGCAAACTACTGCTAGCCTTTCTGAATTACTAGGATAGTGGGCAGGAAAATCAGTAAAGAAAACACAGTGCTTGCTTTAAGATGTTACAACATGAACCTTTATTTTGCTATTTCTTAAATGAGGGCGCAATTACATGTACAAACTTGACATATGTCATCATCATGGTCTTTGGCAATTAGCTATGTTGCAGTAGACATTAAAGAAACCAAGTTAATGATCATGTGAGCTACTAGAACACACAAAATGGATGAACCTAAAGGCAATGAGTGAAAGTAGCCTGACACAAGAGAGGATACTGTGTGAATCCATTTACATGAGGTTGACAACTAGGCGAAACTCCTCTATCATGCCATTAGGAGGAGCTGGCTTTAAGAGAAGCAAGAACTTTCTGGAGAGAAATGTTTTGTATTTTGAAGCAAGTGGTGGTTACACAAGTCTATCAAAAGTCAACAAATTATCTGTTTAGAACCTGTGTTGTTTCTCTGTAGGTAAATATCACGTCAATTTAAAAAATGACCTCAATAAATGGGGGGGAAAAAAATGTCACCGGTGGAATGCACTATAAAGTGTCTGTTAGGTTTTAAAATTTAATCAGTACAACTCCATAAGCCAAGAGTAAAATTGGAGAAATTTACAGAGAAAACATTATGCGTAAAGATAGCTAAAAGAAACCTTTGGTTTATTAAAAGAACGGTTCAAATGCAACTCCAAACAAGCTATTCACTACAACCTCGCTACTGTCAAATCTGAGGTGGATGAGACTGCAGGGGTTGATTCTGCGGTGCAGGCTGATGCCAATGGACCTGTTTTCTGGCACGAGAAGCATTTCAGCAGGCGTCAGTGGGCTTATGGGCGCTCTCACTGCCAGCTCTCACTACACAGGCTGGAACAGCAGTGCTGGCTGTGTGCTGCGCAGGCAGGGGCGGTCTGGCCGCATCAGACCCGCACGCAGTCCTGGCACTCCTCGCCGCTGCCATTGACCCTGGCCCTTGACGACAGCACCAGTTTCTCTCTCACAGACCAGTTGGCATGTTCAGTACATCAACATCCTGGGTTGAGCACACCAGTGCTTGAGGTTTTCCAAATCTCTCCCGAAGTAGCTGTGACACAACCACTTCACCTGAGGGCAGCTTGAGAGGCTACCAGATGGACAAGCTTACCAAGGTCTCCACTGAGCAGAGCCTCTGCCAGGGGTGGGTTGCGTTCCTTCAGCAAGGACAGCTCATGGGGGTTGGCCAGCAACATGTCTCTGAGCAAGGCTGGATTGTCCAAACCCTGAGGAGATGAGGCTATTTCTCCAGGAGATGAGTGGGACTGCTGTGCGCCTGGTGGCTGGCGCTGCCGGGAGCTTGATGTGCCAGGCACAGCTATACTACGGAAGTCTATTCGGGGTAGATCTGTTGGGAAAATCGATTCAAAGTTTACTTCAAATGACTCCATAAAACAAGCATTTGAAGGAAACAGTAGAACACTTGCTTATGCATGGTATATAACAGCTGGAAATGGACATTACAGACATCCTCGCGCCCTTCACCCCCACTTTTTTTCATGCTGCTTTGAATACTGAGGCTGGCAGTCTGGACAAACAGTAGGGAGGGATGGGGAGATTACGGCAGTAACCCTGAATTTTTGGCTGACAGCCCAGATGGCTTTTAAAATTTATTCATGTTTGAAAAAAAAAAAAGCTCACACCTAAAACTATTATCAATAAATGTAACTGCATTCACTTGGATGTGGTTCTTAAGAAAATCATGATCTGTTTTGGTATATGCTTCAAAGAGCCCTGCTACCTTAGGTAAAGAATGCATGCATGTAAAGTGAGTAGCATAAAGGTCAGACGTTAAAACCCTACAAGTCTATGATGAAAATACTGGTTTGGAGAGGTTCTCAAAAGATCTTTGAGTTTATACTTTCATCTGGGTTAACACTCCTCCCGCCCTGGGGAGCGAGTGGGTATAGTTACATTATAGGAGGGAAACCAGAGGCACTTGCACAGGTTCTCACTGTGAACACACTGAAATATGCAACAGGTCAGAGGCCACAACCTCCCGCTCTAGATTCCAGGTGAGCTAACCCTATTAAAATGAAAGGAAAATCAAAATGCTTTACTGAAAGGACTCAGTATTGCATGATTTACATGAAATATCCAGAACAGGGAAATACATGAAGACACAAAGTAGACTGATGGTTGCTTAAGGCTGATGGTTGCCTAGGCTAGGAGGCTTGGGGGGAAATGGGAAATGAATGCAAATAGGTACAGGGTTTCCTTTTAAGGTGATGAAAACATGCCAAGGTTGACTGTTGGTGGTAGCTGCACATCTCTGAATATACTGAAAATCACTGAATTGTGCCTTTAAAGTGAGTAGATTGTATGTTATATGAATCTCAATAAAGGTGTTATTTTTAAAAAGTAAAAATTAAAATTAAAGGGGGCCTCCCTGATGGCACAGGGGTTAAATGAAGCAACCTCCGGCCACTGTAAAACAAGGTTGATCCCTGGCCAAGGAGTGACCCACAGGGCGCAGCAGACCTCTCCTGTCTTGTCCACTGCTTCCTTTAGCAGTGTATTTCAGTAGATCTGACTGTTCTGCTCATCACTCTGACTCTGGTGACTCCTCTCACCCCCTTGTATCCCAGTTCTTGTATGCATAAATAAACCTTAAAAAAAAAAAAAAAAGAAAAAGAACCAGAATGAGGGACTGAATTCACATATCTTTAATCCTCAAAATGTAGTTGGTGGCCACACTTGTCTCAAGCCTGGAGCTATGCAGAAGCCTTGGGGACCTCAAATAGAAGGGAATGCTCAAACTCAGGTGTAAGGTTTCTGCCTCTTAGCGTCGGTTCACTGGTCACTTTCTTCAAATAGACTTCAGCTGGCAGCCAGTATGTACATGTGTATACACACAAGTATGAACTCCCAACCAATTCTGGCCAAGTAAAGGGCATGGGTGTCATGATGTAGCTAATCTATACAGACTAGCAAACACATGGGTGGGCCTTCGTCACGAGTGGAGAAATTTTATCTCCAGACCCGTGACACTTATCTTGCGAGTCCATTCACTGCAGAGTAATTTTGAAAAACTTGTTTACTGTAGAATCCAGGTCCCCTCCCCCACCCCATGTGGTTGTGTGGTTGTCTTGTCCATACAGGACAGTGCAGGAAAAAAGTGACTCTCTAGCACAAACCACCTCACCAAATTCACCAAAGGAGATTTGGTTTCTACTGATTGGCATATCTGAATCATAACTCTTTTGAAAGTTTAATAGCAGCCCCAAGGGACGGATATAATCCAGATCTGGGAGGAAGAATGCTGAATGGTCTCTCGTAGACCGTGTTTCAGGCTGAATGAAAGCCCTATCTAAGCTGGAGTCTGTCATCACCCAGGCACTTTCAGCTTTTATTATAAACTTTAAAACCTAGTGACCTAGAGACCAAACACTGTTGCAGAGAATGGGAAAAATGAATACATTTCATCAAGCAGTTCCTTCTGATTTTTTTTCCAGATCATGTATGTCTGAGTATATGGAGAAAGCTACTTCTCCCCCATCAAATGTACATACTTCCACACAATCCTGCAGATTGTTCAGAGACACAGATTCCAGGCTATAAATACTTATTCTTGGATGGAGCATATATGATAGATTAACAGTATAATAGGTTAAAAAAAAAAAAAACAAAACAAAAAACCACAATTAACACTACTTAGGAGAGAACCAGAAGTTGGTAGACCAGCAGATTAACATTTATAAAACTCAGTGTCATGGAAAAATCACCAACTTTTAATTCCTGTGTTTTCATTTATTAGCTGTGTTGCTCTGAAGACATTAATTTAAAAATTAGAGCTTCATCTGTCAATGGTAAATTAAAGAGTGATCTCTTCCCCTACAACAGTTTGAGTGCGCACAGAATATGGCGCAAGTGCTCAGCTGACCATAAAACGTTCCACAAAGGTCAGTCACTGAAGCCCGGACACAAAAAGTAAAAGGCAGCCAGCCAGGAATCGCGGGCATCAGTAGCCTTTCAAGTCCTTCCCACAGATTATTGATAATAACAACAGAAGCTGAAACACTGAGGTCTTGCTATTTGCTCAAGATTTAAACATGCATTATTCTTACATCATCTCTAGAAGTTGGGTTCAATTTGGTACCTAACAGGTGAGAAAACTGTTTGAGCAAAGTTAAATAAGTTGCCCAAGGTTATACAGCAAGCGGGAGGCAGAATCCTAACATGCCCCCAGGAGGTTGACCAAAAGCAGATCCAAGCCCCCAGGCCGCCATCCTAAGCCAGCTGCTGCCTCTTGTGCCAGGGGACTCGAGTCGTCAGCTGCTTACTTGGGAACTGCACCGGAGGGCGAGCATCCGCATTCTCCTTTTGTCGTAAAATTACAACATCTCCATCTTTCAAACCGTAAGAAGCCAGCGATCTGTGGTTGTCTGTGAGAGGCCTTTCAGCATAGACAATCTAGCACAGAAAAAATGGGACAGTATTAATGCACTGCAAAGTAAACCAACTTAGAGTAAAAAGCTACAATTTTCCTCTTCAGCTCATGCCACTCCCAGCTCAACACCCTCCACCAGCTTTGGGTGTGCCAGCACACCCAAAACCCAAAGTCCTGTTCCACTCACTCACCGTGATCCCCAACCCCACCTTAAAATGTAATGTACCCTCTGCACACACAGTAGTTTATTGTTTTTCCGCCCTATTAAAATGTTAAGCTATTTGAAAAGAAGGATAATAATGTTCTGTTGGTCACATCCCAAATGTCTAATCAGCATACAAGATAAGTAATGCCCGTGTATTTGCTGACCCAAAGGACAGATGAGTCTGTGGAAGCACTGGATATATTTAGATTCCATTTTGGGGGAGGAGGGGAATGGGAATGATTTACTCTGGGTATATTAACTATGCTTTTATTAAATAATGTATACACCTCCTTTATCAAGGTACATTCAACATAATATTGATAAATGGTACACAGTAAGTTAACATCTATTACCTTGCAAAGTCACAATTTTTTTCTTGTGACAGCTACTCTCTTAGCAACTTTCAAACATAGGACAGTACTGTCAACTTAGTCAAACACTGTTCATTACGACATCCAACGTGTCCACCTTTGAATGATCTTGTCCTATGGCAGGTTCGAACGTTTCCCAAAACTATCCTCCTGCATTCTTCCTTCTCCTCTACCAACCTGCCATATTTTACCACTCTTATCTTTACGAGTAGAAGATAAAAGCGGAAGAAATTCAGAACAAACACAGACAGAGAAAAGGATCAGGGCTGGACCTCTAATAAAAAGATCTTTATGACAGGCAATCAAACATGTAGAAAATCTGCGAGCATAAAAAGCAGTGGAGGGAGGAACACACCTAGGGCCCGCTGTGATTTCCCGGGAGGAGCAGAAACCTACCCTACACGGGCGTACACTTGGAGGGGCGCTCAGAGTGAACCTGGCTTTTCCTGCCTTCTCAATTCCCATCTGTCGAGCTAGCAGGTGGAGCTCGGAAACCATCCCTGTTGTCCTTCCAGGTTTCTCTGCTATGCCGCCATTTACAGTATTTCCTCACACGTCTTCATTGCTCACATAGAAAGACTGCCTGACACAAACCTAAAAAACACAGTACTTACACTGGAAAAGCAAAATGATTCTGGCATGGCTGCTCTCAGAATTTGCACTGACAGGAGGACTAGAACTTAAGAGGAATCTGAATCTACCTCCCTCCAAAACCAAGTCATTTTGATGAGCAGGCTGATTTGGAAAACCTGTAGGTTCAATTATACAACTAGAGAAAGTACTGTTAGATTTTACTCTTAACCTGAACAGTTAAAACAGGTTACAGCCAATTGCAACTGTCACACTGTAAAACCATTCAACTGTAGTCCATAGAGGAAGTACACCAAAATCAACAGGCTATGTAATACAACCAGGACTCATATAATCACTTGTGGGATTGCTTGGGAAAAAGCACCACAATCTGAAGTGGCAAGTGCCATCGGTGTACGGCAGCAAAGCACCACGCCAGGAAACACCTCAGAGGCAGCGCTCACCAGATGGCATCAACACTGTGAAGCCACCTTAGTAAAACATGGAAAGCCAAGCTACAACAGCAGACAGCTACCACTGACCTACCAAGAGGCAGCACACTAGGTTCTCACAGTTCCCACTTAAAGCTTGCATCCGCTAGTCTACGGAGCATCATTTGTCTCATTTGTGGACAAAGAAACAGACACAGTGTTACATGACCTGAGGGCACACAGCTATTGATATTAAGAGAACTGGGAACGAAATCACAACTTCACTTTAAAGTCTGGAAGTAGGGGCCTCCCGGCTGGCGCAAACAAGGGGTTAAAGCACAGCACTATGAAGCTGTCTGCAGCCACTGCAGCACAAATTCGATCCCTGGCCAGGGAGCTGACCCACATGGCACAGCAGACTGCTCCTGTCTCGCCCGCTGCCCTCTCAGTAGTGTATTTCAGCAGGTCCACCTGTTTTGCTTCCCATGTGGTGAATCCTCTCACATCCCCACATCTCTGGCCTACACCTCAGTTCTTGTGTGTGTTAATAAAAATAAAATCTTAAAAAAAAAAGTCTAGAAGTACTTTTTCCTAGTTCCGGGTACAACTTCTCCAGTCCAAAGTCCAGAAGTAAGCATGTGAACTCCCTGGGAGATGTCAGAAGCATTATTAGTCACCCATTCACCACCTAGAGGATATATCATGGGGGATCAAAACACTGTCCACTGCTCAACTTGGCATCTGCCCTGAATGTGTAGAAAGGACAACTACCAGCTCTGCACTCTCTGGATTCCCATTTATCTAACTGCTCAGTCAATTTTTAAAAAGGTATACAGCATAATACAGCAATATAAAAGCTAAGATCCAGATAACCATGAACATCAAGCATGTATTTGAAACACTGTTATCTGCCCCCAAATTTCTAAAAGTACTAGACTGGAGAACATGGGTAAGGAGCAAATATTTTTCCACCAACAAAGCAGCAGGCAGGTATTCCATTTTAGTCCTAGAATGCGCGCAAATAAACAAAGGCCTCAATGAAACTATAATTTCCACCAAAAACCCTGATTTTATTTTGTTAGGACAGGTTTAAGAGTCTAAGAAGAAGCTTAAGTCCCAAAGTAAATCTGAACGGTTTCCAACTTAAACTGAGTGTCTCCTGTACCATCGGTCTAAAACTTCTACCAGTCAAACCAAAATGAGTTTTTTAGTGACACTGATCGTGATCTTTCCATCATTTATTATGTTGATTTCAAAGGCCAGAAAGCTCAAAACAAATGCAGGTTTTGCCAGTTACATGAACATACAACAGGAAAATTTATAAGGTGCCTCCACAAATCTTAGGAGGCACCCTACAGACTGAATTCTAATCTTAATCAACAATTAGCAATAGACTAATTAATACAATTCAAAATCTGTAAGCATGATGTGGCCAATGTCTTCTGGTCTCTTTTTTTTTTTTTTAATTTTTTAAAAGATTTATTTATTTATTCATACAGAACTGGGGAACAGGCCAGAGATGCAGAGGGTGAGAGGCTTCACCAGAGACAGAGCGGGGAGCAGAACAGGCAGATCGACAAAGTACACTGCTGAGGGGAGCAGCGGGCGGGCAGGAGAGGTCTGCCACGCCATGTGGATCTCCTCCAGGGCAGGCGGGGATCGAACTCATGCAGAAGTGGCCTAAACTTCTCAGTGCAGTGCTTTAACCCGCTGCGCCAGCAGGGAGGGCCAGTCTTCTGGTCTCTTACTGAGTACCTTCAGCTAACAGAAAATTTGACCATACTGATCTAGCATCAAGCACCAGAAACTGGCCACAAAACTTCTGAAATCACATCTAAATGGATTCCTAATAATAACCACCATGAGCTACAGACCACTCTATGTAACAGTCTGACTTTCACAATCCTCTGTAGGCTAATGTGATGACAGTTATTAGCAGCCTTTCAGAATACTTCGCAGTTTCATATCCAAGCACTTACCCTCAGAAAATAATCAGAAATAGGGGGAACACTTAAATACATAGATATCCATGAGCATGACATGCATAATTGCTCCTAATTTCCTCTGATTCAAATGCCCAGCAGTAGGAAAACAAACTGCAGTATTAGGTGTCTATTAAAATCATAAATTGGAAGAATCTGAAATGTTAGGGGAAACTGCTGATAATGCAGTGTTGGCTTACGAAAGTAAAGTTGGAGTTGTTTTAGGCCATCCTGTGAGAAAAAGACTTTTTAACTATATAAAGGGGAGAAAAGCTTAGAAAAACACAGTAAATAAACTATTTTTATCTCTCCATTAACAAGTGATTGTAGTCTTCATCCTTTTTTGCTACAAATTATCTACAAAATGTAGCTTTTGTGTGGAAAAATACACAAAAATTAAAATGCCAGAACCATCTACAGTAGAAAACTTCAATTTCCAGTGACCTAAAATACCGTTTTACAAGCCACAAGTACCACTGTGTGCAGACGGTATTTCCAGGTTCAGAGTTACTGCTATTACTAAGCACTTCAACAAGCTTTTGAGAGTCTTCACGCATTCTGTACACTTCTTTTTCTTAACCACATGCCACCTACAGAGGTAAATTATAACGATGTTTCAAAAGTGCAAAGACATTAATTAAAATGAAGCTAAGTTCTGATAGCTGTTTGAAGTTCACCAAGCCAACTCTGCATCAAAGCGTCAAAGTGAGGCATGACTGGCTGCCAGGCCCACGCTCCTGCCCAGCCGGAGCACGCCCAGCTTTGATCACCTGTATGACAAGGGGTTTCTCTTCTGAACTTGTTACCAATGCCTTAGAACTACTATCATCTGACTAGAACTATTAAAAATGGACATCTTTCCAAGTGTACACTTATGCCCAGTAGATATAAATGATGTGACCAAGTTCTAAGCCAGTGATCCTTGCTGTGGAGCAGCATATAAGACGACTTAAGGCTGTAGGAAGGAACCAGAAAATGTAACTCTCATTTCCATTTATTTTAACTCATCCTTCCTTCAATTCTACTCATGTCTGTCTACAACGTGGGTAAGGTATTATTTCATATATACATATCACAACTAATGCTCAGTGTATCAAGTATATACACATATTTAATGCATATATTCGTTCACACATATAATGTACTTCACAAAGATGTACATTCTGAAACATGTACTGAGCATCCTTGACTGAAAAAACTTAGCAGACTAAAGGTCCTAACACAGAGGGCCAGGAAAGAATAGAAGGGGGAAAAAGTATTTCTTGTAGAAATGGAGGTGAAGGAAAGAAGAGAGCCCATCAATAACAGGAGTGAGATCAACAGACCAGACTTCCAGGCAAGGGAAGGTGAGTAATACGGAGAGCCCTGGGAGGTGCAGGTGGGAAGGAGAACCTCAAGTAAATGAGAAGGATGTATTTGTGAGTAAAAACTATAATGATGTTTACTAGTATGTTTTGGTGAAAGGAAAT